AAATTAATTCACATACACACATACGACGGCACGCACGCACGCACGCACGCACGCACGCACGCACGCACGCACACATGAATACTTAGAAACGTATACAAATACACGATATACGTATATACGCATATACGATAGCACGCACGTGTATGTATTGATGCGTGCGTGCAATAATCTGTAAATAATCTGTTACTGTTATGGTTTAAAAATGGTGCGAATTCTTAATTTATGATAATTTAATTGATATAATCAGGATTCTATCAATATAATAATTGACAGACTCCTGATATAATGCATATACGCCGCCAGGGAACAAATCATCACTTACACTGCGCTACCCCCGCCAAATAATAGGATGGCCGATGTGATCCTTTCTTGGCGAATCTAACCGCTGGTATATGACGTCATGCCATAATATTGGCCACTAATATAAATCGGCTAGGGAGTAGGGTCGTATGGGATGAAATGGACAAGGTGAAAATAAATAAAAAATATGTATGTCGCAATTAGGATTTTACTCAATTACGCAATTACGCAATTACTAATGCTCCAAACCGCACCCATATATTTCTTCTTTAGCTGAACATAAGTGTATTGATAGAATGGCAATGTTTTTCACAGATAAAAGTTTATTAATCAATTTACTTATTGTAACATTTTACAGCAATTAAGTTCTCCTCAAGCAGTTAAAAAAACTATATGACTGGCACAAGTTACATCTATAACTATCTACAACTAACATCAACGTACAGATTATTCACGAGATCACAGCTAGGTTATATTTTAAGAAGATGTTTTGACATCTCAGTAAGTAAGGTGTCTGCATATATAATTATAATAGTCAGAAACATCCAACAAGTTAAATTGAAACTTCTTAGCGTTGAGCGCACTTGTTGAAATAATAACACTTTTGCTTCTGGCAACTGCAAAAACAATACAACTTATATGCACAGATTTAAAGCATACATATTTTATATCCACATGAACACAGATTTTAAGGCAATAATTGCTATGGTTAGTACAAAAACCAAGACGAGATATACCCTTACAGCTAATACAAGAACATTAATAACATACACACAAAATAATCGATGTATGTATTTACTTAACAATTTACACACTATAGCATTTTACTTCTCCACAGCTTACGACGCAGTCAACCATCGACCCCTTACCAAAAAAACTATACCAGCAAGTAAAGGATGTGAGACTGACAAATCTGATCAAGAACCTGTTGGCAAACAGGCGGTTTCTCGTGGATCTCAATGGTAACTGCAGCAGATGGCTTAGACAGAAGAATGGCCTTCCACAATGAAGCATCCTCTGCTAGTCTAACCACTTACTACACTGCAAACCATCTACGTGCCAATCCTGGGAAAACACAAGTAAGTGTCTTCCATCTAAAGAACATGGATGCGAATCCCCAACTAAAAGTCTTCACTGTGAGGTAATCACTGTGAGGTAGTGGCAGCTCCACTTGCACCATGAGGAAAGATTCTGTAACGTGAAAAAAAGAGTCCATTTGTGTATCACTGACTGATGTAATCTCTCATTTCACTTCATTTGAGTTGGGCATGTCCATAGATATATTATAACCTCTGTAAGTATTTATATTACCAAATAAAGTGATAAAAACACATTTTCAATTATGCTGCTTACACAAACTTGATTTTCTCGGATTCAACCAAGATTCTCTCCAAGCATCTATGGCCGTAGTTGCTTGCTCTCTTAAGGAGCACCCCAGGTGGTAGTCCTTCGCAACCGATGATGCCAGCATCGACCAGCTCGTATGGCAGCCTTGCCATAGGCTTTCTGCTGGCATGAGCTATAACATATACGCACAACTGTATAGAAAACTATTACTCCAAGTTTTTTTTTTTTAACACGCTATAGCTTTGAATAGACTTTGTAAATAAACTGCAGTTTCCACTTACTCTGAAAACTCTGTTATGTACCTTGTAACCTCTGTTATGTACAACTGCATAAATTCTCTTTCTTTTAAGCCTTCTCCTGCATAAGTTTTTATTCTTTACATTTACAATTACCTTAATCTTTTATTTTATTCAAGCATAATAAGGATTGTGGTTACCTAGCTTGTTTAATCTGCAAGGAGAGGTGCTCATTCTCGCTCTCAGCATTGTCGAAATCACTCTGCAACTGTGCTCGTTGTAAATCAAAACTGAAAAGATACACAAATATATAATAGCACTGTTAAGTCATGATGTTGACTATTAGGCCACTTCCACACATTTGTCTATTGCAGTGTAGTTCAATATCTATAGGACCGCCATGAAAAAATACGTATAACTATGGATGGAACATTCAAATTTTCAGCCGCATAATTATGTATATTGCAGGATATTTTTGGCTGAACATTTATTAGTATATTTGTTAACATCCAGTTTGAAAGAGACTAATTTCTGCATTAAAGATAATGCAGTACAGGCCACTTTATTGCAGTCTTGATGTCCAGTCCTGATTAGTCAGTTGTTCTGTCACTGAATGTTCTGCTTAGATAGTTGTACATAGGGAACTGATATCTAGCATGTTTGAATAATTAAAACTTACCTGGCCAAATGAAGCTTATACACAGAATCAGCATTAATCTCTTCTAGCTCCTCCTCTTTATTACCTGATAATCATTGTATGTACATACATAAATCTCTCTATATATCAATATGTATAGTATCCATTGTGCTTCTCACTTGAGCATGATTCTCACATGCTTCATGTCCCTCTGATTTTGTTATGGACATATAATGCAGCCTCATTGAAAACCAAGTACTGTAACTGTACGAGTTACTCTGTATAAAGACCATGTCAGACCATGTCCTCAGAAAATGTATAAAATCTGCCCTGTGCCCATTGACCTTTGAACATGTGATCCAATTCTGCACAGTGATGCGCTTTTCCTACCATGATGCTAATACACCGACTATCACGACTAGGTCGAGCCATTTAGATTTGTGCCGCAATTCTGCATTTCCTCCCATATAGACCTTAAGTTAAGGAGAGAATTCCCTTCTTTTACACCATCTTGACCTTTGACTTTGACCCCCAGCTTCCATCACCCAAACTCGTTTCGGATTACCCCCCTCACGTCCCGAATATCGTGGCCGTACGTCAAGCGGTTAAGATTTGTGCCCAACTGTTGACGGACGGACGGACGGACAATCATGCGATTCTACAAGCTGCACCTGACTACGTCAGATGAGCTAACAAACATAACAGATTATAAATGTCCAACCTGACAAGCTTGACGTTAGCTGCTCAAGTTCCTGATCACAGTTACTCCCGGTTGTCTGCGCTTTTATGTAGCGATGCATCAGCGTTTCTCCTATAATGTATGAACTAACAGCTTGAACAGCAATTCACGTTTTTAGAATATAGTTAGCTAGAAAATGGCTCATATTTATACAAGTAATTATGGCAAACTATTTTACTTTAAATTAGTGGTCTTTGGTTAAAATGGCTGACACATTATTTATTTTCTGGAAACCATCATGAAGATAGATCATGCCTTCATTTCAGGATCAATAAACCTAAACTGTATAACTGAGCACAAGAGCAATATGTGTATACCCATTTGGTTCCTGAGGTATTCTGAGTAGTGAAGCAAAGCATCATCTAGTAGTGCCACACGATGATGGTCGGGGGTCATTTCTTTTGTGATGCGGTTGAAACGTCTCAGATACGACCACAAGCGTTCCATCCCTTCTCCATTATGCATTTTACTTGGGAGGGATCCGTAGCTTTCACAAGACTTTCAATAGGGTCCATGACTCCAAAAAGGTTAAGAACCACTCGTCTACATCTTTGGGTCAAAAATATGTTATTAGTTGCAGAATTCGATTCGATTGCGATTACAATTCCAGATATAATACCCTAACGTCATGTTCAATGTAAGAGTCGCATAAATGTTAAATACCAACACGTACATTAGCACATTTACCGTCATATCAAGAGCCCATTAACCCCAGAGCGTACAACGCTCAAATAGGAAAACCATGGTGTCGTTTCAGCAAAATTAATAAAGTTTACCTACCTTATTTTGATACTTCTCGTGTGAGTAATACATTACACGTTTAGTGTATAACATCGTAGAGACAAGCGGTTGATCTTATATTGGCTAGCTATGACTCTTGCTGAAACGACACCATGGTTTTCCTATTTCAGCGTTGTACGCTCTGGGTTAATGGGCTCTTAGTCATATCTATCACATTCAGAAAGAGATATCTGGGATGATTTTGATAATAATGCAGAAAAGACGTTTTAAAACACAACATCGTTGTTTGCCAGTGGGTCTTCAGCGCCATAAAGCATCAGCACCTCACAGAAGCCCTTTACAGATACCTGGCACTCAAGTACCAGCAGCCTAAGAAATTCCATCAGCTCAATGGTGAATGCCACCTGGGGTTCGTTGGCGTTGATGGCCACAAGCCATACCATAGCATTGTGACCGCTGCAGAGTTGCAGCTGCACACGGTTAATTGAACACTGTGTTGTCTTCCTAACAAGAGCCGCAGAGCGTCTGGGCTCATCTGAGGTCTGTTGCTACCGTTATAAACGTAACATTTAAGTTGTGCGTAGTGACACCTTTGTTAGGCGCAGATATGCAGATACGCAGTTGCGTACACATCATTTCAGCAACCTTCTGCATTCTTGATCCCATTGGTTGATACAAATCGCGTG